AATGTTCCCTTTGTTGGTCGGTTGTTCAGACCTTTTTTAGTGATTCGGTTGCCTTTTGGTACGTGACGTCGTCCCGAAGGTGCATGACTGCAGTGCCGGCAAACCCATGTAGGTTGTCTGGTCTTGGGCTGAAGCTGATAGTTACTCTAGGTACACGGGACAACGCCGGTGCATGCACTTTTCACAGACCTTCCACACGCCCCTGAAACCTGGGGGCCCTAGCGGCCGGAGGGCTTAAGACGCTCCCTATGCCCTATATGGAAGAAGACAGAGTGGGAGGGAGCGGAGAGAGACACGGGGTCCCAGAGATCGCAAGGGTCCGAATGATTCTGGCTTATGGCTTACGGCTTAGGGATGTTTTCGGGCTTAGGGTCCCTGAGTTCTTATGGTCTATAGCTTTACTATATGCAAGATGGCCCAAAATCCTTTATTGATTATTCAGGTTACACCAATGGACTGCGTGCTGGCTTGGAACTGGCATTGGCCACAAGGCGAACGCTCGGCGAGGCACCTACTAGCAACTTGCCTCGAAACGTGTCTTTCAAGGATAGGACGCTTGCTGGGTTGACTGGGAGCATTTGGGCTTCAGGTGCAGAGTTGAAGAAGTGCGTGTGGTTTCAGGCTGCTGCGACCTCACATCATCTGGAGCTACGGTGAGATTCGGTTTCGGGTCGAAGTAAGCCACCGTCAGCTCAAAGCCAGGCGCCTGGTTGTGTGTGTGTGGGGAGCCCCGAACTACAGGCCCCACATAGACAGTACCGTCCAGCCGTCAAACTCATACTACGAAGAATAAGAAAGAGAGCGGCAACAGCAGGGCAGCTGTAGTGGTCACCACGGAAATAGTCGTACTCGGCGATCTCAACAGTGATGAAGTCGTATAGTAGAAGAACAGTATCATGATGGATGATGATGACAATGATCATCTTCGTCCTCGTACCGGGAACAGCTTCCGAGGACGGAACTGAGCTCGAGGCGCCAGTGGCAGCCAAGCAGCAGCGCTTACGCTCCTCACAGCTGTGTTCAGCACTCTTTGTCAGGGTTCGAAATATTTCCTGAAACAGCTGGCGTCAAAAGTGGCATTGGAGGGTCCCTGGCAGCCATCAATTTAAGTAATGTCTATTATCTATTTACTATTAGTCGCACTTCGCCCGTACCCACGAATTTTGCTCATCTTATTGCATCAAGATGCCCGATGAAAGGCGAGGCCTGGTTCTTTTGATTGATTGCCAGGGAGGGGGGTTGGATGGGGCCCTCGGGTTCAGGTTGTGGGTTCAGGGGTCAAGGTTTAGGGTTCAGGGCCTGGGGTTCAAGGCGTAGGGTTCAGGGTCTAGGGTTCAGGGTTTAGGGTTCAGGGTCTAGGCATCAGAGGGTTTAAAGGATATTCTGGGGTTGTATCACAGGGTAAAAGCATTGCTGCAATTCGGCGATAAGGGTGTAAAGTCTAAGCTCAAGAGTTCAGGATATGGGCTTCAGGGTTTAAGATATACGGTTTAGGATGAATAAACAAAATATGGTTTCTCTATGTTGAGGGTTCCAGGGTGGGTGGGTATTTTTCTAGGGTCTGGAACCATAGCTAAACGATGCCAAAAGCATTTAGCAGGCCCTGGAAAATGCATTTAAAGTGTTTTCGAGGGCTGAAGCATTGTTAAATGCTTTTAGCAGGCACGCCCTGGAAAATGCATTTAGAGTCCAAATGCACCCGCGTAAATGCATTATGCATGTTGCACGCAGTGAAAAACGAATTTGGATTTGAGTTTCAACAAATACAATGGCAAACCCTAAACCTCAAACCACCTTAGAGCCGAAAGGCAGGCGGTCAGGCGTTGCAGGCTGCATCCAGGGGCCCCAGCCTCTCACTCTTTCCAATCGTGCCCTGAGACCGCATTTTGAATAAGTCCCTTGTAGCTCAGTGGCAGGAGAGGTAGGTTGATAAGCCTCTTTGGGGGAGGCTATGAGCTCAAATTCCAGTGATGTCGTTTGGGTCCTTCCCCCCCTGGAATCGAAGTTTTGTGTGACCCAAGGTATCCAGGTGGTTCTGGGGAGCTGGGAACTTGGAATGCTGGGAGGCTTTGAGGTTCCGGTGTCATTTGGAGCAATGTTTCTTTTTTTTGTTTTTTTAAAGAGTTGTTGGTACCCATGCCCAAATGCATTTTCTAGTGCCTGCAAAATGCATTTGCATTCGGGGTGGGGTTCTGGCGTCATTTTGGGTTGCTACCACCCAAACCCAAATACATTTTCCAGCGCCTGTAAAATGCATTTGCATTGTGGGTGTGCGGGGATTGGAGGCTTCAAAATCCAAAAGCATTTTCCAAGGATCGGGAAAAGCATTCAATCCTCACCATTATATAAAGCAAAGGGATTTGTTGCAAATGCTTCCTGGCTCTAGGAGCCCAAATGCGTTTTCCAGTCCCGTGCAAATACATTTGCATTTTAGGTTTGCGGGGCTTGGAGGCGAGAAAATCCAAATGCATTTTCCAGAGAACGGAAAACGCATTCAGGCTCATGGGCTTGGGCTTGCGCAAATGCATGTTGAAATGGTATCAAAGTTCACTCGTGGTTTTCAGGCTTCTGGCTTTGTGCCAACCGCGTTTTCAAGCGAGCTGCAATTACATCCGGTCGGACTTGAACCACCCATTGGCCTGAGATTACCCGCGGGTCTTAATCATGAGGCCGAGGACATTGACCAACACTTTTGCTGGCAGCTGGAAATAGTCTGAGTGCCCGCGTGTTGCTTTGCCAGATTATTCCATGCTCTTCTATTGTCTATTAATATGCTGGCTGCTTTAGCCCCCAATGCCACTTTTGAGCGGGAAGTATAGCGAGCCCTGTTTGTTGATTGTCGTTTCTGATTATTCCTTTAAATCCTCCACCGTTTTTTTAATGGAGCCCTGTAAGGGAAACCCTATATGCATACATACTTACATATAGATATACATATGTATAAATATATATATATATACATATGTATATGTGCATCTATTTTTATCTATATGCATGTATATAAACTGTATATATATGTGTATATATATATACACATATTCTAACTTTTACTCTAGGAGTCCTCTTCTATCGTCGGTCCCTTGCTGAGGATCCGAAGCCGCAATCCTGCAGCCAGTGCTCCTGTCGCTGGGTTGCCGGAGGCCTGTGTCTTTCTCTTCTTTTTTGTTTTTCATCATTATGATTTCCGTATCATTCTTCTTCTTTGCAGCATAATTATTGCGATTGCTGTAGTGGCTTGTGCATATCTTCATTAGTACTAGTTCTACCGAAATGATTTGCACAAAGCGTCGCACTGCAGGCCTCAGAGATCTAGCTTTCTTTTTCATACTACAATGGCGTACAGATTTTGTATGATTCGCTTTAGATCGTAATTGCATGTGTGCGTGTATGTGTGTATGTATGTATGTATGTATGTATGTATGTATGTACATACATATAATATGTATATATATATATACATATTATATATATACATACATATACATATACATATACATATACATATACATATACATATACATATACATTTACATATACATATACATATACAGTATATAGATAGAGAGAGATATATATATATATATACATGCATTCAAAACAGCGTCCATAGACCCCACCAAAACCATGGTGTAGAATAGAATATCGTCTCAAGAACCGCCCAAATGGCTACTGGAATAAAATCCTCATGCGCAGAAGCTCAGAAGCTGACTGGAACACTGTAGCACTCGAGAGCCTGTTGCGGGGTTTTGAGTCGCCTCAGTCCCGTTGCAAAATGGCCTTCGAGTTTGCGTTCGAGTCACCGTCCTTACATGTCCCTGGCGCTATCAGCAGCAGCAAAACAGCAACGGCGAGGACGCCGACGATGTCAGCAAACATATTAGCACCGGCAAGTACAGCGACAGCAGCGGCTCAGGTCATCGCAAGGGCGAGGTTTGTGGCGGTTTAATCACGAGGTCGTCTGTGCTTCACGAGACCAGGGATCGTATACATGTGTGTGTCCAACAAAGAAAAGGATCAGGTGATGCCATGAGCCCTAGGTTTAAACAAGGGCCAGGGATGCTTCTGAGGTTTTGTTCGGTCAGAATTTGGTACCGCTCGGGGTGTTACAAGTCACGGCCCACAGCCGTCAGTGAGGTTGGCATGCCGACGACAGTGTACACCGTATTGCAGAGAATTTCGAAGTCAAAGACTTGGAAACGAATCCTCCAAGATAAGTTACCCGTCTCTTTTGACAGAGAGCCTAAATCTGGCTGCCGGAAAGTCCAGCAGGCGCCCGTATTGGAGTCTTACCATCTAGCAGCCCCCGACATTGAACCCGAACGCTGATGTCCTCCGAGGCTTGTATGACGTGAATGCTTGTCGGGTTCAATTCGTCGAGGGTTCACGCAAGTGTAGGGTTCAGCTTCTGGCCTCAAGGTGCCTAGGACCTAAGATATTCTAAGACGAGTGAAGGGCATCAAGCTAGGACTTTTCATAAACCCTCAACAGCAGATGGAAAAGAGCCCGCAACGCAAGCAATCCTAAATGGCAAACAGACAGACTCAGAGAAAGACCCCTAAACCCGCAAATTTTGAGCAGGACCTCTTTGGCTTCCTACGTCGCCACTTGTGCAGTGGTACTCAGCCGCGTGCAGCCCTGGCGCCTTGGCATGGCGAGCGATGGCGCAGGGTTTGGTCCATCCATGCATCCATGTTGGCGTGCATGCGTGCATGTACATACATACAGAACTATACTTACATATAAACGTATACCTGTAAATTATGTGTATGTGTTTCATTTATTTAATGTGTGTGTGTACCCCTGTATGTGTATATCTATCTATCTGTATGCTTGCAGACACATTGCTATGATTGCATTCCATGATTGGGAGGCATGGGATGCTGTAGCCGTCTTGGGACTCGACAATCTGAGCCAGTAGACTCTGGCTTCGTGCTTTTGCCGATGTGCAGACGTAGTTCAGGCCTATTTTGTCACTGCAAAGTTTAGCTATGGCCTGTGAGGTTTGGTGGAGCTATGGTTCCGTTTGTGGACCAGGTGGGGACCAGAAAGGAGTGTAGCAAAACTTCCTGCAACTTGTGAAAATTTCGCAGACGCCACGGCTCTCGAAGAGGTTGCTTGCAGTCCTAACACCACCCGTCTACCGTGCAGGCCAACCATGGGAAGCCACACTTGGAGTTGCTGAGTTGTATAGTACTTGCTGGACTTTTTTCGACTCAACATTATAAGCTAGAAGATGTTTACTTGCGTGTTTGTTTTAATGTATCGTTCGAAGATACCTGTCCTTGTGGTGGTCTACTCGCGATCCCAGGTTCCGCTGTCACAAAGGCACCGTGCGGGGCCGGGCGGTTCGCCGCATAGTTCCCGGAGAGATCCTGCAATCCTACGGAGAGCTGTCAACGGCCGATTCCTTGCAGCTGGGCTGAAGGACACCATTTGTAAACCACCAGCAATGGAAATTTGGCTATAGGAGTGGAATGCAGTGTCATAGAAACAGCTACAACACTTTCTAGAGGACGCCTTCAACACTTGCTGCCGTGGGGCTGGTGAACTTGGAGTTAAGAGTCTGATCACCGGGATCACAGGTTCGTCTTGATACTTTACTGTACTGTACTATACTATACTACAATGTAGTATGATTTGTGTTGTCATGTGTTTGCTTTGGTTGCTGTTATCTCTCACTCTCTTGCGACCCCCTCTGACTCTCCTGCGGCCAGCAGGGCGGTCTGTTGATTCTAAACTTCTGAACCCTAAACCCAAAAGGTATCGCTACGGCTTCGCAGATCTGGCGAAAACCTCTGCCGAGATCACCCTGTCAGCAAAAGAGGCTACTTGCGGTGTGTATACGTGTGTATCAAGACATTGCGACACATTCCCACACGCGCACACACACACAGATATATATATATATATGTATGCAATGTAATGTAATGTAATGTAATGTAATGACGTAATGTCTTGTCTTGTCTTGTCTCGTCTTGTATTCTATTGTATTGTATTGCAT